ATGGGTTTGAAAATCCCACAAATTATTTTTAATTTGTGGGTGAAATTGTCATTACATTAAAATAATCTTAATTCCTATTGTCTTTAATTTATATGGTCTGTTTGAATAAAACTTTGAGTTCTCTATGGGAATCAGTTTTGATATATATATATATATATATATATATATATATATATATATATATATATAAAAGTGAACATTGAAATCACCACTCAGTGGCGACAGGCTGTTTCATGCTGGATGCCATTATCAGGCCGCGAATACTGCATTCATGCTTTCATGCTAAAAGTAAACGTCAGGACAACTGACGATTGCGCCTAGCATGAAACAGCCTGTCGCCTCTGAGTGTTGACTTCAATGTTCACTTTAGTAGTTACACGCGAGTATATTTCTTCATATATATATATATATATATATATATATATGAATGTATCTATATATATATACACAAAGGTTTGGGTTAAATATAGATCCAATATGGGTTCGAATCCTACAGAATAAGATAAAAAAAACAAATAGGAAACTTTTAATCTTACATGTTTAACTTTTATTAATATTCCTCCATGTCACCATTCTCTGACGAAGCTTTAATAAAAGCGAAACATGTTAGATTGATAAACGTTTCCTATTTGTTCTTTATCTTATCACACACACACACGCAAACACATATATATGTATGTATTTATATTTATCATATATTATACATATCTCTCTCACTCTCTCTCTCTCTATATATATATGTGTGTGTGTGTGTGTGTGTGCCTGTTAGTGGGATCTATGTATGCGAAAGTGTACATAATAGAATAAAGTGGAAAAGCTCTTAAACGACGTGTTTAGGAGACATGCGTTTGGTTTGGATTCTTCAGGTTCATCTGAAAGGCTATTTCTCCCCCATCCCCTTCTCTCTCTCTTTCTCTCTCTCTCTCTCTATATATATATATATATATATATATATATATATATATATATATATATATATATATAGCGAGAGAAAAGAGAGGATGAATGCAAATAATGTTTGTCTCTAAACTGATCACTATTATATTCAGAGGCTCGATTCTAGGGTTTTATAGACCATTTTTGTCTTTGAATTGTTCAAGCTATTCCTGTAGAGGTTTCAGTAATGAACCGCCGCTTTTTCTCATTTCACAATCACTTTATAATAATTTTGATAATGTAATAATCTTATAAGATTATGTGCCAGTTGATTATTTCTTTTTCTGTTTGTGCACGCACGCGTGTAGGTGGCGGGGGGCGGTTGCGTGCGCATGTATGCGTGAATGTGTGTATGTGTGTATATACTAAAAATCGTGGTTATTTGTTCCTTTCATCATTTTCCTTTCTCCTCATACTTTCTCCCTATATATATATATATATATATATATATATATATATATATATATATATATATATATATATATATATACTACATACATCTAAAGAAAGGTCCCAAGCTGATATGAAGAATACAAGAAAGATATTAAGCTCTCATTTTTCTCTCTATCTCTCTATCTCACTATATATATATATATATATATATATATATATATATATATATATATATCTCACTGTATATATATATATATATATATACAGAGAGAGAGAGAATAAGAGCTTAATATCATTCTTGTATTTTATATATATATATATATATATATATATATATATAGAGAGAGAGAGAGAGAGAGAGAGAGAGACAGAAACAGAGACAGAGAAAGTCGTGACCAAGATATACTTAGAGTATCTTTGATTTTTATTCACTTGACATGTGGGAAACAGTAAAAAGTTTTAGGTAATAACATAAGGAAGAGTCGATGATTTTAACACACACACACGCACGCGCTCGCACACACACACACAAACACACACACACACACATATATATATATATATATATATATATATATATATTAGTGGTCAATATATATATATATATATATATATATATATATATATATATATATATATATATATATATATATATATATATTCCCTAGAGATAGAATCCAGGTAGAATTTGTAGGTCTGATGATTTGGGTCGTGATTATGATTCCAATGTAATATTTTTTTTTTTAAATGGAATATTAGTGTTTGAACCATTTATTATATATATATATATATATATATATATATATATATATATATATATATACTACTTTCAACATAACAGAATATCATCTTTGATGGCAAATACCTTTGTTTAAATGTCCATAAAACCACTCTGAAGATGGCACATGAACCGAAACATTAGATCAAGGAACAGAATTAAAAAATATCCAAATGTTGGACAATTTTTATCTTTATTTTCGCCTGAAATTAAAGCAAATATATGAAGTTTGGAACGGCTAAAGATGAAATATAGACATTCGTTGTCTGTTAGATTTAACAATATATGTTTTAATATGAATATATATATATATATATATATATATATATATAGATATATATATATATATATATATATATATATAGATATATATATATACACACATATATATACATTTATTCATACACGTTTCATTAAATAATATATACAAGTGTTGTCTATTTATTTTATGTAACTTTTTCGTAACGTGTAATAAAAAATTTACATAAAATAAACAGACAACACTTTGTCTATATTATTTAATGAAACCTGTATGAATGAAAAGATGCTGCCTATATATATATATATATATATATATATATATATATATATATATATATATATAAGAGGCATATTTAGGCCGGAGCTGACGGATTATGAACTTTGCCCAATTTATCTAGGCTAATGAAATTATTTAGCCCTCCTCATTCACCCTCTAACTCGAAACCTGCACCCCGTGTTCAATATTTTTTTACCCGCGATATAATTTAGTGCCATTAACATAGCTTGAAGTATCAGTCAGTTATGTGCCATGTGTGATACATGACTGACGAGGCAGATTTTTTTCCCCACAGTAGGTTGCGATTTCTTTCTGCCGTAGACCAGTTGTCATCCAAGGCTATAAAACTCGGTCTATCCTGCTATTTTACCTATAGATGTTGGGGAGAAGAAAAAGATTCATATTTCCCCAAGAGTATTAGCACATAAGGGAATGTAATGGATTCGACTGGAATTCGAACTCGGCTCTCCGAATGAGTATACTTATTGCATAATTATTTAAATAAACTGGAATATCTATTTTTATTTGCCCATAAACAATATTCTTTATGAAATACTACCATTTTACTATTCAATTCATATCAAATTAGTACTTATTGAAAAAGAACTATAGTAAAAAAAAACAGATTTTTATAACCAACATTATAACAATAACATTGTCAAAATAAACAAGATTTTAAATATGAGTTTTCCATGTTTAACAAAAATTTAATAATCTGAACTAAAATCAAACATGTTACCTACTTAAAATATAATGACAAATACTAAAACATTCTTTTTTTGTTGTTGTTTTGTTTTGCTTCCTGTAATGTCAAATAAATATAAGTTTGTCTAATTGATATCATTTCAGTTTATCAGACTATTTAGAAGTTATGACATTTAGAAAATTGAAATCACGGCTTTATAATAATTTCCAAGCTTTAAACATTTTGAACTAAAAACAAATATGTTATCTACTTGAAACATAATGACACAAACTAAAATATTCTTCCCTTTTGCAATTCATCAACTTCTTACACACACACATATATATTATATATATATATATATATATATATATATATATATATATAGTCGACTCTCCCCGTTCGACGTAGCAGATGGGTTCTCAGGAAACCGATAGCCCGACAGCAGCACATGATATTTCATTATAGTGGTGAAGGTTTCGTGCAGGACCATCCACACATTTTGACTTGGTGCACTACGTGTCACAGGGTCCCCAAACGACCCTCCGTATGTTTTGAATTCAGAGTTGTCCTTCTCCTAGACCAGTTGCCATCCAAAGCTATAGAACCCAGTCTGTCCTGCTATTTACCCATAGCTGGAGGGAGAAGAGGATTCATACCTTTCCCAAGGGTATATATATATATATATATATATATATATATATATATATATATATATAGCGCTGGGGCCAATAATTAACACGAATAATTTCAACGGTTTCTTAGACCCCACAAAAAGCAAGCTGTATGAATAATAGAAAAAAAAATGAATAAAATAAAATTTATAAAAACTTTCTCATCCATTACCTTCATTGAAACATGCAAAAGAAAGACTGCTGACCTAGTATGCAATTGATGAATTGTATCGTATTTACGATTCCAATGGAATAAATTATGACCATGGAATATTAGTATTTAAGCCTTTTTATTATATATATATATATATATATATATATATATATATATATATATATATATATATATATATATATATATATAAAATTAATGAAAAAATCTGTTTTTCATTAAATATTAACTCTGATTCATTGAGCTCTCAGGATTTCATCCTCCTTGGAATTACCCATTCGGTTTACCAAGTTCTTCGTAACTTAAATATATATATATATATATATATATATATATATATATAATTCTACCTAGATTTCACTTAAATGGATCTTCAGCGTGAACTTATCTTGAAAATCCGTTTAGGCGAAACCTAGGTAAGTTGTTCCTAGCTCTTTAGGATTTATTTTATATATATATATATATATATATATATATATATATATATATATATATATATATATATATATATATATGAAAGAACCATAGGTAGGTTGTTCCTGGCTCTTTAGGATTTATTTAATTTATCCTAGCTCTACTTAGCGTATTGAGCACGCTACGATTTAGTTTTATTTTTCGCTTGGGTTTTTTGGGGGGACTAAAAATTTACGGCACGGCAAAATTTCTTTCACCCTTTTCGGATGTTTCTAGTTCTTTCTCAGTTTTTTTCCTCGGGCACCAATTTGTTTTGATATACTTGCATGTTGTGACATTTTTTTATCAATCGCGTATAAGTCTTAGTATAATATATTTATATACATATATTTATATATATACAAATATACATATATATATATATATATATATATAGAGAGAGAGAGAGAGATAGATAGATAGATAGATAGATAGATAGATAGATAGATAGATAGATAGATAGATAGATAGATGTTCGGATTATTCCTGAGGCTCGTATAGACTGCAGCCGAGTGTGCCTGAAGCTTTTGTAAAGCAATGACTTTAATTTTCTAAATAGTTTCATAAACTTACATGATATCAATATGAAAAAAACTCATATTTAATTGACTTTGCAGCAAGATATATATATATATTTGCAGGATGTTTTCCATTTAATAATCTTTGTTTCTGCTTTTCTTGTTTTCTCGCAACTTTCTTTATATTTGGGCCTTAGACCTAAATTTAAAGAAATTTGCGAGAAAGAAAATATATATATATATATATATATATATATATACCTTCCTGCATGTTATATATATATATATATATATATATATGTATATATATATGTATTGTTAAAAAAAATTGTTTAATTTATAGAACAGTTCCTTTTCTTTTAAACCCCCTTCTCAACCATATACACAACCTTCTATCCTCCAAGTAATGACACTTAGCCTACAACGTGCAACGGACAGTCGACATGCAGTGTTAATTCCTATGTCCAACCTATTCATATCCATTTATCTATATATCTATGCAATGCAACATCTATTGTTATACAAATATAACATAAAATCATTTTAGCAGTTTTTATAACGATTTACTAAGCGTAGCTTATATCTGGCAAAAGGCCGATAGTATGGAGCACTGTCAGTATCGATCTCACAACTTGATTTACTTGATTTAGTAAGACATGCTTACTATTACACCACATGAAAGTGCCCCACACATATACACGTGTGTGTAAGTAAGAAATAAATAAATATAATATATATATATATATATATATATATATATATATATATATATATATATATATCACCATGGTCGCTTTGTCATTTAGGAGACTTCCTGATGTTATAGCTCTAGAGTGGGGACGATCCCAACATTCGGCACCTTTGGAAAGTACCTGAGGACCATACCACGGATTGACCCAAGCCTTGTGAGTGAAATTGGTTAGACGGAACACTTGGGGGATCGTCGATAGCTGCGCTAACATGAAGTCACAAGTCATCGTGGCCGAGGGCTTGAGCGTGCTGGCCTTGTTCAGATTGTTGATCATGATAGATTAACACGCTCTTTCCCAGAAACTGTAACTAAGGTCTGCTCAGCATGGTTGCAATAAACTACAGGTGGGCTCTTTGGGTGTTGAACAAACATAAATGTGCCTGAGTGAGCGTCTGCAATAGGGACTGGCTAGCCGCCCTAGTAGACGGATATTCTCGAATATGAGTGGCCAACTATTATATATATATATATATATATATATATATATATATATATATATATATGTATGTATGTACATATGTGTGTGCGTGGTCAAGGGAAAAAGAAAGAGCGTAACAAACGACGTAATGAAATCCAAATGAACACATACAAGAACACATATACTCGGAAGCAGACACACGCATATTTACACACAGAGAGACAGACACACACGCACACACAAGTAAACACAAACAGAGGCAAGTACTCTCACTTTCGATCCTCACTCTCTGTTTCTTTTTCTCTATCTTTAGCTTTCTCTCCCTCACTCCTTCTCTCTCTCTCTCTCTCTCTCTCTCTCTCTCTCTCTCACAGACACACACACACACACGTACAGACGTCAGAATGAATCATTACTTCACACTTAATACATTTCAGTACAGGCTTTCGCCAACAGAAGCGAGCAGAAACTCGTTTAAATATCTGCAATTATTATTCTATGACTATAAATTATCTAATTGGTCGGTACCCCCTATCCCCCACACACAAACCTTCCGGTCCCCCCTCAATCCCCACCTTCCACTCTCCTCCACCACCACTACACACACACACAAAAAAAAAAACACCGTTTCTTTCTTTGTATTTAACACCTTTTTTTTTTCTTTTATAGAATCATTTTTTTTTTATTATTCTACAAGAAGGCCAATAAAGGAGAAGGGAAAGCTGTGATACGGCTAAATCGTGATTTGGTAGTTAGAGATGAGGGAGCTGGATGATGCAGAAGTAAGGGTTGCGGGGCGGCTTGGGGGGGTTATTACAGCCTCCCATTTCCCACTACCTATCACCACTGCCTCATCCACGAAAAAAAAAAATCAGAAGAAAAAAAGAAAGAAATAACGTTAAAAGAAGAAGAAATAAAACCAGAAAGATGAAAAGAAAATGGCGGACACTGAGAGAGGGAAGAAGAAGAGATGTAACAGGATGAGTCGAACAAGTCGATGTAGCAGAGAGAAGGAGGAAGGGGAGTTGCGGGGGTGGGGGAAGATTGTGAAGTGGTTGGTCTGGGAGCGTAATAGGGGGAAGGTTTGAAGACACAGGAAAAGACGCCTCACTTTAATAAAAAAAAAATTCTTGTGGCAGGCTTCTATTTTTAAATCATGTGCACATTACAGACAATAATAGACAAAAAGCGGTCAGTTGGTAAGGCGGGGGGAGAGCACTGGAGGTGGAGTCGACTGGACTATACGTTAAAAATTATTATTATTATTATTATTATTATTATTATTATTATTATTATTATTATTATTATTCGTTCAGTATTCGCATTCAGCGGCTCGGATCGAGGAATCGGAGAGCCGAGTTCGAATTCAAGTTGAATCTTACGTGCTAATATCCTTGTGAAAGGTATGAATCATCGTCTTCTTATCTCTCCTCAACACCCACACCCCCCGCATGGGTAAATGGCAGGAAAGACCGGGTTCTATAGCCTTGGATAGCAACTGGTCTACAACAGAAAAAAATGCCAACCTTCTACGAGAAAAAAATCTCTCGTCAGTCATGTATCGAAAGATACATGATCGCCTAAGCGTGTATCACGCATGGCCCATACCTGACTTTGGAGGCACGGTGGAAGAATCAGAGAGCCGAGTTCGAATTCCAGTTGAATCCATTACATTCACTTACATACTAATACCCTTAGGAAAGGTATGAATCCTCTTCGTCTACCACCAGCTAGGGGTAAATAGCAGGACAGACCGGGTTCTATAGATTTGGATGGCAACTGGTCTACCACAAAAAGAAATGTCAAGCTTATGCGGGAAAAAATTTGCCTCGTCAGTCATGTATCGAAAGATACATGATCGCCTAAGCGTGTATCACGCATGGCACATAACCGATCTATCTCGGTCTGTTTACATCTATTTATCTATCTCAGTCTATTCACATCTATCTATCTATCTATCTATCTATCTATCTATCTATCTATCTATCTATCTATCACATTCACTTGCGTGCTAATACCATTGAGAAAGGTATGAATCTTCCTCTTCTTGCTCCAGCTATTGGTAAATAGGAGGACAGACCGTCTTCTATAGCCTTGGATAGCAACTGGTCTACCGCAGAAAGAAATGGCAACCTGCTGCGGGAAAAAATCTGCTTCGTCAGTCATGTATAGAAAGGTTAATGAAAGCCTAACGAATGGCACATAACTGACTGACTGAATGGCTTTCACGAAAGATCAAGTGATTGCAAGCCTATTCTATTATTAGGATAATAATTGTTACGTGAGTTGTGCCGTTGACTTCTCTGTGTGGTAAGAAGCAATATATTTGATATCAAAGGAGACCCACAGGCATATAAAATGCCCACCCTTATTTAAAAAGGGAATATTAAGAATTATTGAATGATACAGTGAAAATTATTGGGACTTCATCCACGTTCTCTATTTAGCCCAGTGCACAACAAGAGTCTGTTTTCAAGTATTTATTACAAATTTATTTTAGTTTTAATATTTAACAGATGCCAACTTTCAGTTCAACAGGGAATAGAATTATTGGATGGTCCATTAAATGTTACTACAGCTTTATCCATTTTCCTCATTTGACCCAATTAAGAACAAGGTATTTTCAGGTGTTTATTACAAATTTATTAAATTCTAATATTCCCGAAAAAGTACCCACCCACATTTCTACCGGGAATATTAACAAAAAATAATTATTGGGTGATACATTGAATGTTCTAGATCTTCAGCCATTTCCCGCAATTCAGTCCAATTCAAAAGAAGCTTCTTTTTTCCGCAGTTATTACAAATTGATAGCTCTTTGTACCGACCCCAAATAAGGTACATTTTATGGATTTCCTACAAATCTATGAAGTCCTAATATTTAGGTAATAAATAAGTAATCAACAATGTCATTTATTTTCCAGAAAAATCCCTAAGGACCCCCTCATTTTTATACAATATTTATTAGCGGAAAATATTGAATTGTGCATAATTTCATCATTTGTCAAATTCAATTTTTGAATGTAACATTTCAGGTCACAAGTTGCTTCAGAGAACTCCTTTTTCAGATCCTGCAAACATTTAGGAATTTTCTCTTCTGATGACAAAATTGGTCACCAAAGCTGTAATATATAGATATATCTATATATAGATATCCTATCTATATATAGATATATAGATATCATATCTATATATAGATATATAGATACTATATCTACATATAGATATAGAGATATGATATCTATATATAGATATAGAGATATCATATCTAAATATATAGATATATTTAGCTATATATATATATATCATATCTATATATATAGATATTGATATATATCTATATATATATATAGAGAGAGATATCATATCCATATATATAGATATATAGATATCATATCTATATATAGATAGAGATATCATATCTATATATAGATAGAGATATCATATCTATATATAGATATATAGATATATATATCATATATCTATATATAGATATAGAGATATATCTATATATAGATATAGAGATATCGTATCTATATATAGATATATCATCTCTACATATAGATATAGAGATATCGTATCTATATATAGATATATAGATATCATATATAGAGATATAGAGACATTATATCTATATATAGATATATAGATATCATATCTATATAAAGATATTATATCTATCTATATATATATATATATATCATATTTATATATAGATTTACATATAGATATAGAGATATAATATCTATATATAGATATATAGTTATCATATATATAGATATAGAGATATCATATCTTTGTATAGATATTATATAGATATAGATATATAAATATATCTATATATAGATATCTTATCTATATATAGATATTATATCTATATATAGATATTATATCTATCTATTTATATATATATCATTTATATATAGAGATATTGATATATATCTATATATATATATTATATCCATATATAGAGATATATAGATATATAGATATCATATCTATATATAGATAGAGATATCATATCTATATATAGATATATAGATATCATATCTATATATAGATATAGAGATATATCTATATATAGATATAGAGATATCATATCTACATATATAGAAAGAGATATCATAACTATATATAGATATATCACATCTACATATAGATATAGAGATATCGTATCTATATATAAATATATAGATATCATATATATAGAGAGAGATATAGAGACATTATATCTATATATAGATATATAGATATCATATCTATATAAAGATATATCTATCTATATATATATATCATATTTATATAGAGATTTACATATAGATATAGAGATATTATATCTATATATAGATATATAGATATCATATATATAGATATAGAGATATCATATCTTTGTATAGATATTATATAGATATAGATATGTAAACATATCTATATATAGATATCGTATCTATATATAGATATTATATCTATATATAGATATTATATCTATCTATTTATATATATATATCATATTTATATAGAGAGATAGAGAGATATCATATCTATATATATAGAGAGAGATATCATATCTATATATAGATATAGATATATATCTACATATAGATATATAGATATCAACATGAACTGTTGAACAGAGTTCAGAAGGGACCCTACATCCGATTTGGCTTTCCCGAAAAAATCTTCCTTCCAGCAGGTCTTGCAAATAACCTATCGCAATTTCTATGGATTATTTGCCTAGCATCATAGCGATAATTTCAATTTTATCGTTTTCTTCGTTCTAGTTCCCCATGCCATGCCTTTTCTGGATATCTCAGTTTCAGATATTTCCCTTTCGTAACTCTCCAAGTTTTTGTTTACCTCATATTGAACTCACAACTCTTTTGGGTCAAGTCAGTGGATTACTTCAACCAACGCCTTGGGGAAACCAATGAATGATTTTTTGGTTCTCATAAACCTAATGTCTCAATAACTATTTTAAATAAATAAGGGTTCAGTTGGAAATTCCAACGTATGTCCCTGAAGAAGGAAGGAGTGTACAATAGCCGAAACGTCGTGAATATGGCAATGAAGATGAGGACAATAGTTACAATACCTCATCTCAGAAATATAGACAGATGTGTTTGATAAAGAATGTCACAAATAACTGTTAGAACTGCTCGTTAACCTCAACATATTTGGGAAGGATATTAGAATGATCAAGAACCCATACTGGCAGCAAACCATGTAGAGATTGAATTCAGTAAATACACAGAAATTGAAAAGAGAGTAAGACTAGGATGAGGCGATTCTGAAAGAATTATAAGTCTTGCCAGGATTCATTATTGGCGGTCACAATCTTAACATAATATGCCGATGACACAGTGTTGATAGCAGACACATAAAGGAAGCTACATGAACTCCTACAGAAGGTAATGGAGGAAAGCGGGAAGAAAGGACTAAGCATCATTTGCAAGAGAACGGCTTGCATGGTTGCTAACAAAAGGAACCGCCTAACCTGCACATTAAAAAATGAAGATATCAAAATCAAAAAATATAACAATTTAAATAATATCCGATAATACATTTCGCCTTCAACGGCTTCATCAGATGGATAATTCTTGTTGCATACCGGACGATAATGGGTATGTCCCCATTCATATAAATAGAGTAGTAAATACTGTATGTTGGTCTGCAGTTGGAGATTCGTCTCCAACTGTACTGGTCAAACTCTCTGCTTCCGGGCAGAGAGGGTCTCCGGACGCTGAAGAGCAGAGTCTCCGGATGTTGAAGGGCAGACTCTCGTCTCAGGAAACAGCTACCCGACCCCGTTTTATACGGGGTCTACGGGGAATTTTTGGTCTAGCCTACGGGCTCGGATAGCCCACATTAAATTCGGTCTTGTACTACATCTGACTGCGTGGGGCAGTTGGTAGATATCCTGCAGTTGAATCTTATACGGCGAATCTTATATGTGTTGTTCTTGTCCTAAGTATTATCGTGCCTTACCAACCTTCGTGTGATTATTCTATTCAGTAACCTTCCTTAGGTTACAACAATAGCGAAAATGTGTTATGTGTGCATGCATTAATTAAATCTTATATTATTTTAGAACGTACGAGTTAAAACAATTCTTTAATGCATTTTCTTCCCATTCTGAATAATTTCCATCTCAAAACTGGGACACTTAAACGCGGAGAATATAAAATATGTTAAACAATTTTTTTAAAAAGTCACTCATTTTCTTTCTCGTTTAGTCTCAAGAAACGTCAACTTGGGGAAAATAATCGCTATTCATCAAAACTGTTTCGATTTGAGATCATGAATTAACATGTCCTCTCATCTTCAATGACATTGTATGCTGATTCGACAATATTTTGTCAGCCTTTTCTGTCCTCTGCGAGTTTTCGGATTCGTTGCAGATCTTCCTGGATTGTAAACTTCTCCAAAGGAAAAGTGGAATCTTTCTGTTTTGTTCTTTGAATGTCTCGGTTCAGTGTTGTGACTATGGTGGGTCTTGGATGACCTCTGAACTTTTTGAAGTCAGTTTTTCCAAGTAAAAATCTATGACTTTGTTAGCTGGGTATTCTGGATTCATTCGCAAAATATATCCAAGAAGTTTCCATCGCTAACTGCTCTTGTTTCTCGCACCGGGCCAAGCTTCGTACATTGAAAGTTCCAGCTGAAAAGATCATGACGTTGAAAGTTCAATAGTCTTTTCCGAATATTGTCTTTCTGTTGTGGTAGGATCCACCTAATTTGCATAGTGGAGTACCGACCATATAAATATGGTTGGTACCGGGAAGAGAGTGAAGGGAATCAAGAGATTCAATCCAGAGACTCTGCCGACTGCGACTAAGTCAACACATTCTCCAGGAACGGTCTTCCCAAGAATATACAAAAGACTATAAGTAAATATTGTGTACACTTTCTTGTTTCAATACATTTTGTTCTAAGTACATTTTGTGTTGTATTATTATTCCATGCATTAGTCAAGTTTCAACACTTTCTCAGTGTGGAACGTCTTAAATA